CTCAATTCTAACCAGTAGATTCTTGAGGGAAAAGCTAAGTATGCTTAAGGGAAAATAGAAAAAAAATTCTGTGGGTTTTCATTATTGGAGGCAATATGTCCACATCACTTACAAACAAAGCCTGTCCAAACAAACAGAAAATGGTAAGGAAGACAGGGAGAAAAATTATTATGAAAAATTAACAGTGATATAATAGAACACTCAAGAGAAAATTGACAGAATTTTGCTGGGAATTTTTTCTTTGCTAAATATGGGAAAGGGTTTCTCAATGAGCTAGAAAAACAGAGAAGGGGGTATAAAAGATTTTGTGGTCAAAGGTACACTTTTCCTCACAGTGTTTTTGGGGCATCATCAAGAAAATATTGTCTTTCGCTGGAACCAGTTTCAGTACTTTTCTAACTGCAATGGTCTTTCCCTCAGTTCTTCAGGTGAGTGATTCCTGTGAGTGAAGTCTTTAAAAATTGTAAGGCAGCTGTTTCCTGCTGACCTTGAATGGGCAATGTTTTCTTGATCTTGTTTCACAAAATGAGGCTGCATCTTTTTTCTCCTGTTTCTTGTTTACCAAGAAGAGTAAGGCTGTTACTGTGATATCTTCAGTACAGGCATGAATATACGACACCACATTATGACCTAGATAATAGATTTGTGTTCTCTGATTTATTAGGACCACAAATTATGAATACTGGAAAATCTCCTCTTCTTCAATTCAGTCTTATTTTGAGGTTTTTCACTGGGGCTACAGAATCAGTTTCTACCTCACTGGAAAGGATTCCAAGAATTTTCATGTGGTGCTTGTTCAGCATCACAACCTGCTAGCCTGTACACCAAGATCCTGATTCCAGCTTTCCCAGGACCACAGTACCTATTTCCTTGCAATTGGCTGCCTGACTGGTTCATCAACTCATACATTGGATTCTGGCAATTATCTAGATATGGATTATACTGTACCAAAGAAAGACAGAAGTCTGATTGCCTTTTTTTTTTTTGAAGAGTTATTTATTTATGCATACAGAACAGGGTACAGGCCAGAGGTGCAGTGTCCCCACCAGAGACAGAGTGGGGAGCAGAACAGATAGATTGACTTAAGTACACAGCTGAGGGGAGCAGCAGGCGGGTCAGGAGAGGTCTGCCGCGCCATGTTGATCACCTCCAGGATGGGAATCAAACTCATGCTGAAGTGGCTTTAGCTTCTTAGTACTGTACTTTAACCTGCTGGGCTACCAGGAAGGGCCAGACGTCTGATTGCTGTTTTAAGGTATGCTTTGGTCAGTCCTGAGCTGTAAGTGTCTTTTTTTTTTGAGATGGAAGCCAACTTAAAAAATAGCACTAATTTTTCTTTATACTCTTTACATTTACTATTGGATCACCCATCTTATTAACAAACACAATTAGGTATTTTATACCTGTTGTTTTTTCAACATGTGTCTTTTGTATTCCTCCTTTCTCAAATTCTCTCTTCTTTCTTTGCAGGGGTCACCAGTACAGCCAAATGAGCTTGAGAAGCACTACTGATCATAGTCAGGACAAAACTCTTGTGCCCAGCTGCATCTAGAGTTGTGAGATGCTTCCTTTCTATTTCAAAATAGGCCTGACCCACTTCTACTGTTTAACTATTGTCTCATTTTTCCTAACTTGTGTGTAAGGCCCAAGACAAGTCCCAGTTTTTCCCTCTAGTTTCTCTCATATTTCTCCAGTATCTTATTGTCAGGAATTCTTGTCAAATAGGATTTTTGTCCTTCAATGATGGACTTGCCAGCATCTTCTACATGCCCAATAAACATTACATTTACATGTTCTTTTCAAGGAGCATATGATGGTACAATTATAGGTTTAGGGTTTTGTATTTCCTCTCCCTCCATCATTTCTTGGACACCTTTATCTGGGGTCTCCCATTTCCCAAGAACCACCCCCTTGCTTCACTGATTTCTTCTTTGTACTACCATGGTGCTTTTATTTATTTATCTTTAAGGATTAATTTACTTATGCATAGAAGAACTGGGAGTAGGCCAGAGGTATAGGGGGTGAGAAAGAATTCATCAGAAACAGAATGGGGAGCAGAACAGGGGGTCTACTGAAGTATGCTATTGAAGAGAGCAGTGGGTGAGACAGGAGAGATCTGCTGGGCCATATGAGTCAGTTCCTGGCTAGGATAAAACTCAGGCCACAACAGTGGTAGCACTGAGTCTTAACCCCTAGGTTACCAGGAAGGTCTCTACCACTACGATTCTGCTGGGAACAGTTCTATCTCTCCATTTTCTACAACAGGTTCTGAAAGTTGCATGCTAACAGCTGAATTTGAACCTTAACAATGACTCTTCCTCTTGAGAAGGTTTCCTAAGTGTAAATGGGCCTCCTGTGCTGCATCTGTGATGTTGACAGCTGTGCCAGCTGGGGGTGGTGGTGGCTTGGCTGGGCCTTATAGGAAGGACAATACGAACTTGGTGGCATGGAAATTGACAGAAATGTGGCTTAAGGCCAGGCTGAGGTGATCATGCTGGGCTTCGGTAGCTGCTGCTACTTGGGGTCACAGTCTTCCATGTCTGCCTGGTTCCTAGCTACTGCCATGGCTGTGGGGGAAGATGTATGTGTGTGTGAGAGAGAGAGAGAGGGAGGGAGGGAGAGGGAGAGAGAGAGAAAGAATGAAAACTGGGCAACAAATGGAAACAGTGGGAGACAGGCCTGGAACAGGTAGCATGGATCGAAGAAAGCAGCCAGGCAGAAGGGTCAGGGTGGTCTGGTGTTGGAGTGACAGCTCCTGTCCTCACCCTATGCTGATGAGACAATTCAATCCTCTTTGTCTGATTCAGTGAAAACATTTAGAAAACCTGTCTTTAAATGTTAAAAGTTAGGAAACTTGTAACCAGAGAGATCAACTACCTAAACCAAGGTCACAATACTGGGCTGTTGGTAAGTATGGGGGGCTAAAATGTTGCAGGATTCTGCTAAGACAGAAGCCATTCCCATTGGTATGCATGTGCTGGTGGAACTTGAGATTCTGTGGGGAATTCCAGGATGGCTGACTCCTCTCAAATTTCCCATATTCCAATTACTCAGATCATTGTGAGGGCTCCACCCTCTTAATCCTCTGAACCTGAAGGATGCAGGGCAAACAAGATCAGTTCCTTCTCACAGAAATATTGAGAACTCCTGATCACAAGTTTGTTTGGCTTGCATTTTAAAATGTAAAATAACACATTACTGCCACCCACATTTAATGGCTATTAACATTTTCTTCCAAAATATTTTGAAAACTTTTTTCTTTAGAATGGCTCAGGCATCCTAAAACACAGGTAGAAACTACTATCTTATTTGACAGACCAGATTCTGTAAAATTAGAATAGTGAATTAGGGCAAGAAAGAAGTACTTCTCATTAAAAAAAAATGTGATACCTAAGTGAAATACGTGACACTTCTTGACATGACTACCATGTTGTCTTAGATCACCTTGCAATTTGAACTATGTAAAAAGGAATTCAATTTACATAAGATTTTTGCTTATTTTTACTTCCTCTTAAAATGGAATAACCCTGGGGTTTCTTTTGTTTATTTTCTGGCAGAAAATGCTTAGTTTCCAAATGTCAGAGAGTGAAACAAGTTTATAGATTTATAGCTACAGAGGTTAAAGCGGCTAAAACAATGTTTTAGCCGAAAAGTAGAAGTTCAGATTTTTGTTACTTAAAACCTGTTTTCATTTGTTAAATTCTAGAAACATCTATGAATTAGGAGGAGGCCTAGATTCTAAAATCAGTGCTACACTAGTGTACTGTATGACTACATGCCATTACTTTACCTCTTTGGAAAATCTAATGTTTTATGTTTCTGAAATAAGTTGATTACACCAATCTTCATCTTCTTACTCTCTTGTTTATTGAGTTGCCCTTTGGTACCTTGTTCAACCAATTGGTCCTGATTTCCTTCATCACTTGTAAGATGGGTAAGATACAGTCAAGAAATTCTACTAACAAGCTAGCTGGTTTACATATGATACACACTGTGGGGAGCCATGTGTCCACCAGCCAGCCACATCTGGACTAGCTCTGCCCCTTGAGTCCAGCCCACCTACTCCCTGTCCTAATTTCACTTCCGTGGATCCCTCTATACAATATTCTTGGTGACAAAGAATTGCAATTTCTATTCACTTACCAAATATGTTATAAACTGTCTTTTGTTCAAAACACCCTTTTTTCACCTATATTTGAAGAGTGGACCTGCCTCTGTTCAGTATCTCACTTAAAAACAAAACAACTTGGGGCTCTCCCTGATGGTGCAACAGGTTAAAGTACCACATTATGAAGCTCTCCAAAGCTACTGCCGTATGAGTTCAATTTCCGGCCAGGGAGCTGACCCACATGGTATGACAGACCTCTCTTGACCCGCCTGCTACTCAGCAGTGTACTTCAGTAGATCTGCCTGTTTTGCTCCCCACTCTGTCTCTGGTGAATCCTCTCACCCACCAATCTCTGGCCTGTACCCCAGTTCTGTAAGCATAAATAAATAAATCTTTAAAACAAAAATAAAAACTTTAGAACTGTCATTCCTACCTGGCTACTAAGGTGAGTCGGCTTTAGCCCTCAACAAGCATTTGGTGGTGAATATGAATTAAAAATTTAAGGTTTGGGATTGATGGTTGGGTCATGCTGGTTCAAACCAAGTATTCTGGACACCAGCCATGACTCTTTGATTCCAAAAAGGAGTAGAAAATACTACTTTTCTGAAGGGGCTGGCACTGTCAGAAAAAAAAGAACAGCTCCAAAGCTATACCTGCAACACCAGTGATAGCCCAGGGTTCAGGGAAATGAGTCTGAACCCCAGTGCCACCTCTGATCTATACCGGGACCTTGGGACAAATGAGTTTCTAGAATGACAGCACAAGTCTGAGGGAGTGATGAAGCTTCACTGGACCAGCACTCGTAGGTACCAAAAAAACATGTATTATTAGACCCAAAAAATGGAGCACAACATTCATTTTGAAAAATATTTATTAAAAAACTAAAGTGGATATGGCAAAACAAAAACAAACATACAACCCCAAAACATACCTTTTAAATAGCAAGCATATGACACGGATTATAAAGCTTTCCAACTCTACTGATGGTCTTCTCCCCTATCCAATCTATGAGGGCCTCTGGGAAGCTGACTGTAAACAAGTCGCCTGCACTAGTGATGAGCAAAACTAATTACTTGAGGACTATCAATGGCCATACGACTCCTTTTCTGAGGCAATCCACCCCACACACAAGAGTGACCCAATGCCAGGAGTGTGTTCTTGGGGATCTAGTTCTAGTTTTAATCTGGAGGTGGGGCCAGTTGAGGGATGAGACAGTAGAAAGACGAACTGTATCATTAGAGAGTAATCTTAAAGCACCTTTAAAATCTGGACCCTTTCTCACATTTAACTCAGTAATTCTCTAACTGTTGAAAAAGAATCACCTGATGATGTTAAAGTCACAGCTCCCAGAATCTGCATGTTTAAGAAGAGCTCTCCAAGTGATTCTCTGCATGTTGTTTAGCCATCCAGTTTGAGAAATACTGCTTAAAATGCATGAAAACAATTCTTGTGCCCTAAAAACAAGACAAAAGTTAAGAACTCTGCTGACAATCATTGTACTTTCGTGAACTTGGAGGGACCATCAAGGAAGGCAGATGGGAGTCTCCGATTCCTAACACACTGGTAAAAGGAGCCCTGAGCAATCTATCAAGTGCTGTTCAGGAAGTGAATAAAATTTAATAATAAAGTTGATTTTATATCACAGCACAATCTCAAAAGGACTAACAGGTCAACCCCATTCATTTCAGTTTCATTAACTTTGTTAGACCAATGCCAGATGGGAAGCTGCTGTTCACACAAAAATGTGGGGTAACTGTGGATCTTGACTTAAGAAGACATAGTGAATAAAACATCTATAAAAACCTTTATTAACCATAAAGCATCATACCCAAATAATCTTGGTGCATCATGGACAACATGTAGAAATAGTCACATTGATTCCAAGGTTCCCATTGTCTGCAAAAAGATGTGCTATGGCTGTGTCAAAAACAAGGCAGTCACTGTTCATGATGGCTGCAGCTACACCGTCATGGATGGACCGGGGCGTGGCCTCCCAGGTCAGTCTCCGCCGGTTCCCATTCAATTCCAGTCTGTAGGCAAAGTTCTCGGCTTGCTTGCGGGTGCCAATGAGCAGAACGATGGCGAAGAACTGCTGATGGCCTTCGTACTTCTCCTGTTTCTCCAGCACCAGCATGAAGTGATGGCCAAAACACGACTGCATCATCACCCAGTCAACAGCCCCTGGCAGGTTAATGTCTGTAGCTAGAAAGACAATGTCTTCTCCCTGGAGAGTTGTAATGCTTTTGTGGGCGTGCATGAGATGGGACATCACAGCTTCCAGGGACCCCTGCCACTTGCAGGAAGCTCCTGGACAAGGGCAGGAGTAGGGACGGTATTCACAGATGTCCTCATGTTCTGGTTTCTCTGTGTGGTGCAGGCTCAGGGAGCAGCCTGTGGTAGCATACTGCAAGGGTGGAAAGAAAGTGTGAGTCAATGACTGCTAAAACTGCTACAGGTGCAACACCTATGAGTATTTGCCCAGGTAGATTTCCTGGGCTTAAACTGTATTCCTATTTTAACTACTTTTGCTTGGGATGAATTAAATATTTAAGACCAAAAGCTTCAGCTTCTATTCATCATTTTGATGTTGAAATGCCAAAAGCTGAGCATGTCCTGAACCTCGAAAGTAGTGCATCCCACGTCCCTCACTCCACACTGCTAAAAACATGAAATCTCAAGTGCTCCAACCATCAATATCTAAAATCAAACTGGTGGGTCAGGTCTTTGAAACTTGGCCTTCCTCTCTCTTATTGAACAGTTTAAAATTGCTTTGGGGTGGAGCTGGGTTAGGAATACATGTTATCTCCACACTAGGTTTTTGTGAAGGATAAATTTGAAAACAATGTAATTCTCTGTTGTGTTCCCTATTTCTTCTTGGTTCAAATCAGCAACTGGCAGGCAGATGATGGGAAAGCTCTTTGGTTCCTTGCTCTTACCTTATATGGTATCCTATTCACACCAGTGACTGACTAAAAATGCTGGAGATTTCCCACCTTCACTTTGTAGAAATATTACCTTGCATTCTTTACCTTTCAACCCTTTGCCTGAGCGGCTTTCACCATATTCTTGTATGAAGGGAAACCACATGTAAGAGCTACGTAAGCTAACTCAGATAACTGCATGTCATAGGGATTTCAACTAGTGGAGGTTAAAATAAAAAGGGCCTTAGGAATATTTCCTAACATATTCTATCAATGTTACCCTAACACCAAAACCAGACAAAGACATCACCAAATGAGAAAATCACAGGTCAGTATCTCTGATCAGTATAGATAGAACATTCTTAATAAAATACTGGTAAATTCACTACAGGAATCATATACTATGAGTAAGTAGGATTAATATGTAAATCAATTAATGTTATACATTGTATCAACAAAAAGAAAGGATAAACAAAAAGAAGGATAAAAACCACATAATATAAAGAGATAGAGAAAGCATTTGATAAGACAGCGCTCATTTATGATAAAAACTCATAACAAGATAGGAATAGCAGAAACCTACCACAACACAAGAATTAGGAAAACTGAATCTCCTTTTTCAGAAAAGCAAGTCAACTTCATCTGCCCAGGTAGGCAGGTGAGTTGTCTGGTATACCTCACTTGGATTCTCACTCCCCGTTTTGAGACATGGAAAACCTTCAAGAGGCCAGGGCCTGGCCATTTTTCTTAGATTCTATATCCTGGTTGCTCAGAAAACAAAAAGCCCACAGCTGCTTTTGTTTAGGAGTAAATACCTTAGAAACTCAAGTAGGTCAAATCCTATTCTTTATAGCTGATTATCACTAGCAACAAGTAGGTACTGATACCTTTTCCACACAAAGCATTGAAGAAAAGTCACTGAGAGGACTACAAAGCATAGGAGTCAGTCCCCACTACTAGGGAGATTGGTTTCCCCTAAAAAGGGAGAAGAAGATGGCTTAAAGATAGAACTGCAGCTCACTCTACCCTACCCCCAAGTGAATCCACTTCAGTAAAAATTGGCAAAAATAGCTGCTTATTCATCTTTTTAAACCATGGACTGAAACACTGGTGTTGATATATTGCCAAAAGGAAGAACAAATATATTTATATATATTTATACTTGTATTCTTAACAGTATAAGCCTTAAAACACAAATCCTTATTAACTGTTTTAAATCTAGATGACAGCTAAGAATAGAGCCTTCTGCTGTTCTTGGAGAGATGGATAAGCCATTTGTGTCCTCAGTTCAAAAATGCAAAATAAAGTAGATGCGGCACAGATGCAGCAGTGGCACATAGGCAGCAGCAACAGTCCAGGATTCCACCACTGTAGCTCTGTGGAAACAGCAAAGGTGGTAGTAGTATCTAGGTGAGGGTGGATGTCCCCCCTGAGACAGGTGAACTGGCTTCTTCTTAAGGGTGGACTGGGAATCACCCTAGGTAGTGACAGATGTTGTCCCTGGGCTTGCTATCAAGAGTAACCTCTAATGGTAAGGGGGACAGATTCCCATGGCAATAAGTGGGACTTGAGCACTCCTTGCACATTGGAGATCAGGGCAGACTTCAAAAGGGGTGACACAGAGGAAATTTACACTTCATTGAATAGGAGGTGATAGCTATGGTTTGGGGTAGTGGACATAGTCAGCAGGTTGTCAACTCAGAGGTATATAGCTAGAGGAAACCAGAGTTTATTTAAAGAAGTAACAGTGGGAACTTCCCACACCTTGGGAAGAAATTAAATGTACATGCCCATGAAACTATATGCAATGAGACCTACATCAAGGCACAGAGTTAGTGGAACTATCAAAAATTCAAAACAAAGGAAGAATACTGAAGTTGGGAAGGGGAAATAGATAACATATAAAAGTATTCCTAGGATATGTGTACATCAAACTTCTTAGCAGAAATGCTATAGGTCAGGAATAAATGGAATGACGGATTCAAGATAATCAATAAAATTGCCAGCCAAGAATACTATATCCTGCAAGACACTCTTTCTGAAATAAAGGACAAGTAAAGGCCTTCCCAGCAATCAAGGATTGAAGGAGTTTGTCAACACTAACATCTCCTATTAAAAAAAGAAAGAAACAAACAAAGAAAGAAAGGAGCTCTCCTGTCTAAATCAGAGAGGATGTATCACAAAGAAAACTGAACAATGAAAGAAATAGAGCAGAAAACTAAAGACAAAAATGGCAGTAAAAGCCTGGTGGCTCTATGGGTTAAAGCATCACATTATGAAGCTCTCCAAAGCCACTGCAACATGAGTTCGATCCCTGGCCAGGGAGATGACCCACAAGGTGTGGCAGACCTCTTCTGCCCTGCCCACTGCTCCCTTCAGCAGTGTACCTTGTCAGTCTGCCTGTTCTGCTCCCCAATCTGTCTCTGGTGAATCCTCTCACCCACCACAAATCTGACCTGTACCCCAGTTCTGTAAACATAAATAAATAAATCTTTAAAAAAATGTCCTCATATATCACAACCACCCTAAATATGAATGGACTGAAGGCCAGAACCATATGGTTTCATTAGTGAGTTCTGCCAGATCATCAAAGTTAAACTATATACCTATCCTCAAACTCTTCAAAAATTGAACAAAAAGTAATGCTTCCAAATACATATTATGAGGCCACTTAGTCTATATCAAAAGCAGATAAGGCCATCACAAAATATTAAAGACCAATATCCTTGAATACAACTGCAAAAATTCTCAACACAATCTTAGCAAGCCCAATTCAATAATTAATTAAGAGATTTATATCTCATGATCAAGTAGGACTTATTCCAGGAATTTAAGGATAATTCACAATCCACAACTCAGTCAATGTCATTCACCACAGCAGTAAAAGATAAAAATTATATGATCATATCAATAGATGCAGAGAAAGCATTTGGCAAGATTCAGCATCTGTACATGACAAAAACTGTCAATAAAATGGGACAAAAGGAACATACCTCAACATAATAAAGATCATATGTAGTAAATCTACAGCTAACATCATACTGAATGGTGAAAAACTGACTTTTTCCTCTAAGATAAGGTAGAAGACAAAGATGTCCACTTTCACCTCTACTATTCAATAGAGTATTGGAAATCCTAGCTAGAGCAATTTGGTAAGGAAAGATATAACAAGGAATCCATATGTGGAAAGAAGTAAAACTATCACTATTTGCATATGACATGAAAATACACATAGAAAGTCCTAAAGAATCACTATTAGAAACAGCCAAGTATAGCAAATTGGCAGAGTACAAAGCCAACATACAAAATGTTGCATGCCTATATGTAAACAATGAAGTAGAAGAGCAAGAAATCAAGAAAACATTCCCTTTTACTGTAGCATCAAAACAAATTAAATTCCTAGGAATAAACCTAACAAAGGAGGTGAAAGACCTGCACAATGCAAACTACTAAGACATTACAAAAATATAAGGCACAAAGAAATGGAAAGATATTCCCTACTTATTGATTACAAGAATAACATTATAAAAATGGACATCTTACCCAAAACAAGATGCAACCCTATCATTGTTTCAATGGCATTCTTCAAAGAAATAGAGTAAACATTACTGAAATTTATATGGAATTACAAAAGACTCTGAATAGTTAAAATAATTATGACAAAGAAGAAGAGCAGATTTCACCCAGATTTCAAACTATACTACAATGCTACAGTAGTCAAACAGCATGGAATAAAAAATTCCATACACTATTGGAATAAAAAATAGTGCATACACAAATGAAATAGAATTGCATTTAGAAATAATTCACATTTATATGGGCAGTTAATTTCCAACAATGGAGGAGCCACAAGTACCAAGTACACATTGGAAAAAGGAAGAGTCTTTTCTATAAATGGTTCTGGGAAAACTGGGCAGCTGCAAACAAAAGAATTAAACTAGATCACAATTTCAAACCACACACAATAATTAAATTAAAGATTTGGATGTAAGACCTGAAACCATAAAAAACATAGAAAACATGAACAAAACACACCATGACCCTGGCTTCAGAGATGTCTTTGGGGACTTGACTCTAATAGCAAGGGAAACAAAAGGAAAAATAAACAAATGGGACTATATCAAACTAACAGGCTTCTGTACAGCAAAAGAGGCTATCACTAACATGGAAGGACACCCTACCATATAGGAGAAAATATTTAAGCATCATGCATCTGACAGGCGGTTACTTTCCAAAATATATCAAGAACTCATAAAACTCAACAAAAAGAAAACAACCCAGTAAAATATGGAATAGAAGAACTAAGACAGTTCTCCCAAGAAAGATGCAGATGACCAACAGGCATGTGAAAAAATTCTAATCACCATTTATTGTGAGGGAAATGTAAACCAAAACCACAATGTGATACCACCACACATGTGTGAGAATGGCTTATACCAGAAAGACCAGAAACAACAAGTTTTAGCAAGTGGGTAGAGATAAA